GCCAAAATAAAAATATAATGAACAAAAAATAAAGTGAGGAACAAAGGAATTTAAAATTCAATGCTGAACCTCAAACATCTTCAGAAAAATACTTTGAAGGAAGAACAGCTATCCTATAAGTCACTAACAAGCTAGCTCACTTAAAAACCATTCTAAAAGGTACCTTTAGAGTACCAGTAATTCTTAGAAAGAAATAAACAATGGCAACACATTTGCTTTGGCAAGCCCATCCACTCAGTGCTCAATCCCATACCACAGATGTGCTCAATGCTATACTAGGCATCATGGAGATAAGCACGAGACCCAATTCCTTGCCCACAAGGTTTAATTATGGGACAAAATGAGTAATATAAACTTAGCTGCCACACAAGTCTAGATGAAGAAAGAATCAACAAAGGGTAGGGCAGTAAAGGGAAGGATGACTGTGACTACAAAAGACAAATCCCTGGCAAAGAAAAAACAAGAGGGAAAGCAGAGGCCACACAGAGGGCGCCTGTAAAGGGAAGGGACTCCAGCAGATGGGACGGAAGAGGGCTGGGGATGACAGGTGGAGTTTCCAGAGGGCTCCTTTGGGTTAAGTGGCATCCAGAGATGGGTATGTATGATTTGGGCTACAGAAATGACCAAATGAGGCAAATGACTGAATGTGAGAGTAAGAGAGGGCTGAGAATTAAAACAGCCAAGACAACAGAAGACTCATGTACCACTGACAGAAATACGGACAATAAAGGAATAGAGATATGAAGCTGATTTTCTATTTTCTAGGTTTTGGGTGACAAGAAATCCAAGTAACTGCCTGTTAAGATAACTAAAGATAGGGAGCTGGACATCTGGTGAGAGGTTAGATCTTTGTCACTGCTACCACTCTGGTCCAAGCCTCTGACATCTGTCTTCTGGATTATTGTTACGTCTCCTGCTTCCACTGAATTCCCACTGTTTCTTCTCGACCTCCACTTAGTGAACCTTTAAAATGTAAATCAGGGGGTGGTGCCTGTGGCTCAAAAGAGTAGGGCA